AGAAAGCTTCCAAGGAGGCTGCAGGTTGTTTTGGATGAATCTAATAGTGACAAACTATTCTAGAAACGTTTCTAAAAGTTATTGTCTTTTGGTTTGTCACTAACACTCATTGCTGCTCCCAAAATACTGACCTGTTGGTCTGAGCAAAGATCTCTGTGTGCTGATTTAAATCCTGGTTAGAACTGGTGATTTGAAACCATAGTTTTCCTCCCTCTACCCCCTTTTCTCAGTGCATTTGATTCATTTGGGCCCTTTCCTGGTGACTGCTTCTGTGTCTGTGTGAAAGACAGGATGAAGATTACAGCAGCACCTAAGAATTCCAAGAATATCTTGGAATATCACATCCCTCAAATATCTTAGGACTACTGGGAAATGTTTTTTTTTTAACTCTTGATTTTCACAAGGCTGCTACCACTGGTGAAGGACTTTGCCAGTTGGGAATGTAGCAGTCTATGGAACTATGAAAAGAAAATACCTTGTTTTAATTTATGTAAGTTCTTAATTCCCTGACTGGAAGGAGGGGAGAACTAGTTCCCAATTGCTGGAAGAGTGTGTTCACGTCGCTGTGTTGTTCATCAGGCCGTGCACTTGGCCTTTACTGCTGTGTAGTGTCCTTGGGCTGTAGCACTGAAGGTGTTTCCACTGACAGGAGCTGAATTTCCATTTGATTTCCGAGCCCAGTCGTTCCCGTGTTGTTCTCTGCTTTCGGGCATGCCGGAACGAGCCCATTAAACCCCCCCCTGCCAAGGAGTTTCTGTTCTAGAGCAGCAAATACCAGATCTGAAAACGCACTGAGCACAGCAACAGCTCCCCATTGCCTGAGATAAAACATCAAATCCACACGGAATGGACGCTGGCAATCCTTGCTGTGTCTCTCAATGACTTTCATCTCCTCGTGGCTCCATTAATGGGTGTCCCCACGGACCTGCAGCGCTCTCAGCGCTTCCCCCTCGTTTGGGTTTCTCCTGCCAATTGCCTGGCATTGTGGAATAATTGGAGTGGAAATGACGAATGAAAAGCGGGGCTGCGGGGCTGCGGCGCTGCCAAGGCTCCTCGCCTGGCAGCCGCTGCCTGATGCTGGTAATTGTTACCAAAAGTGTAATTGCTCCGGGCTCTGCCTGCCATTTCAACAAAGCAGCCTGGAATTCCTCCTCTGAGACACCCGATCCCTGCTTTTTCTCAGCTGTCTCTGGCACAGGAACGACTTGGGAGGTAAATCCCACCTGGCACGAGGATTTGGAGCTCCCTTGGGGTTTCTCCCCGTGGTGTGGGGTCCCTGCTCCCCAAAGCAGAGTCTGGCAGTCTGGGACAGAGCAACCTCTTGGACAGTTTATCACAGAATTCCCGAATAGCTGGGGTTGGGAGGGAGCTCTGCACATCACCCAGTCCAGCCCCAGCCAAGGCAGGGTCACCAGGAGCAGGGGACACAGGACTGAGCCCAGGTGAGTTTGGTCCTTGGGCAGCTCACCCTCATGGGCAGAAGTTGTTCCTCATGTTGAGGAGGAACTCCTTGTGTTTTATTTCATGGCTGTTCTTTCTGTCCTCTCTCTGGGCACACCAAAAGTCTGGCACCGTCCTATTGACACACCTTGGAGATATTTGTATGGATGGATGAGATTCCCTCTCAGTCTCCAGGCTAAGCAGGCCCAGCTCCCACAGTCTCTCCTCATGAGAGAGGTGTTCCAGACCCCTCCTCCTCCTCCTCCTCATCATCATCATCAGGTGATTAGTGGGCTACAGGATAAGCAGCACCCCCTCCTGTTTGGTGTGACACCCCAAATCTGCAGTTCCAGCCCTGGCTGGCACCAAGGCTGCAGCTGTGCTCTGCTGGCTTCACCCTGCTCAGCAATGGCAGCAATGCCACCACCCCAGTGATCGACTTGACAGGTCCTGGCTGCTGCAGGGGACACCCCAGCATGCAGTGACATTCTAGGCATGGCCTGGATATTTCCAGGAAGCCCTAAGAGCTGCAGAGGGGACACAAACCAGCTGTTGTCTGCTCCTTATTTCCCCAGAATAGCACACAGGCTCTTCTCTGGTGTGATGATATCCCATGCTAAGTGGCACCTGATGCAATTACTGAGGCTTTGCACATATTAATAGCAGACTGGTTGTTTTTGATTTGTTGGGTGGGTTTGGGGTTTTTTTGTAGTTGTTGTTGGTTTTTTTTTTTTTTTCTGAGGTAGAGGAGGAACAAGTGCAGCTGTCTGAAGTTCTCATAGCCAGTTGAAAAAGCAGTGGTCCAAGAGATTTAGGTCTTTGTGTGCTCTGTTCATGTGACAGAGTGACAGCAGCAAGCAGGAGCACTCACAGCTGCTCTGGGCTCCCTTTGCTCCATGTCTGCTCTTTGTCTCTTTCACTTTTTCTTTGCTTTTACTGATTGTCGTGTTCTTGCCTCCTTCTTCTATATTTTTCTCCCCTGCTTTTTCTTAAATCAACATCAGTATTCTCCAAACCCATCACATGCTCACACTGTGCCCCTGTGTCTCCAGTTTTCACTCATTTTGTCTTGGCTGGGTGTCTGCAGGCTGGAAAGGTTTGTGAGCATTTCTTGTTCTTTTGGCCTCTGTTCTGCAGACTGGCACCAAATTATGTAGATGTATCTATTCTTGCACCATGTTGTTTTAAAATTCAGTTGAATCAAGTATCATTTCTACTTTTGATGTAGGGAAATCCAGGGAATTAATAAATTATAATGGCACTGCTTGGCATTTAAGGAGTGTTTTCCATCTTCAAAGCACTCTCTGCGTGGTATTTTATTATTTATACTGTTAATTACATTAATACTTGTCAGGAAAAAGCCCCTTAAGTTGTCATTGATAAAAATACAGTCTCAACAGGACTGGAATCCAGCACTTAGACTGCAGCAGATAATTTGTCCACTGAGGTGCAGAGCCTTGGAGAAGACATCAGGTGGATTTCCAGCAGTTCTTGAAGTGTGCACTGAAAAATCTTGCTTTATGTTTAGAACTGAATTGCCTGGGAGCTTTGAAGTGTCCTTGTACGTGCTGGGTGAGCACTAACAAAGCCCCACAACAGGAAAGGTAGGTGGGATCCAGATTTTCCAACCTGGAATTCAGGTCTGCTGCCAGGAATCTTAAGCTAAATGCTGAATTATCCAAAGACCTGGATGCTGAGAGCCATGAAGTGCTTGGAAGATTCCAACAAATCAGGTGGTAGTTTCCTGACTGTTAACTAGATAATGAATTTTTTAAAACTCTGCAGAGAAGTGTTGGTTTTTGATCTGGTACCTGGCAAAAGGAATTTAGAAGCAGCTGATTTGAGCCCACAGACAGGAGCCAGCCTGCTTGGGCTGTGATAGAAACCAGGAGAGGAAGAAGGAGGAGTTTCCTTACCACAAACCCGAGCATTTAAGTCTCAAAATGTGAGTAAGGGTGGCTCTGTGCTGACCTTGTGCCGTGAGAGTCCTTTGGTTATTATTCCACTGTGGAAATGATTTTCTTTTATTTATTTTTTTTTTTTTTTAATTTTAGTAAGCCTGAGCTGTCAGAGGTGAAGGTTTGGGAGAGGCAGGAGATGGGGCACTAAGTGTGCCTGGTTAGCCCAGGCTGGCTTCCCTGCAGGAAGCTGCCAGAGCACTGCTGAAGCCAGTGGGATGTGTGTGTTAGCTAAAGCTTGGCACACACATCACTTAACCTTCATTTCTTCTCTAACTGCACCATAAATCTGCTGGCAGAGATGATGGCAGGGTTGCTGTTCTGCAGCCAGCTGTGCTCCTGAGCAGGAATTTCATCCCTCTCTGCCTTGCCCGAGGGGCTGGGCACCTTCTAAGGTCAGCATTGCCACGGGTATTCCATTAACAGAGCATCTCCCTAAATTTCTGATGCTGCTGGAGTGTTTGCAACGTGTGCATGACATTTGGCACAGAGAGGAGCACAGTTTGATGTGGGAGAAATGCTTTTAGAAAGCAGGGGAGAGAAACAAGGAGTAATTTTAATTTTTTTTGCTATGTTTTTGGCTGTCCCGCTATTTGCAGATGGACACTCTTGATCCAGCACCCCACAGAAGGGCCTGAACAAGTGGCCTGGTTTTTTTGGGATAATTTTTCTCTCATTAAGCAGCCTAATGGGCCTTTAAGGCACATTTCAGTATTTTATCATTATGCTTAACAGTTTTAGTAGTTAGCTGTAAATGTGCTCATGGCAGTCAATTGTTAATCATCCTCCCTGGCTTCATTTGCCTAAATCGTACTTTGCACTGTGAGTAAATTGAAGTAAATCACTACATGGTGTAAATGAGCAGCGAGGTCTGGTCTCCTTGCAAATCCATTAAAAACGAGGCTCGATGGCTGCGATAGGGGCTGTCCATCCTGCTCAGGAAAACACCCTGTGTGGTGTCAGCTTAGCCCAGTGTTTGTCTATACAACAGGGACGGGGATTGTGTAGCTGAAAACAGCATTTCAGAGCAGAAACTGATCCTCCTCTTCCCGTGTTCTTGCGGAGGCAGCGTGGGATCGTGACCTCAGCGTGGAGGGAATGGGAAGGGGTCAAGCACGGGTGGTTCAAACCCTTGTGAATTAGCTGTGGGTGTTCCACTTGGGTGCACTGATGGAGCAGTGGTGACAGCTGTTTCCAGCTGTGTCACACTCCCTGCTTGGCCGGAGTTTCCTGCGTGGTGCTTTGGGATAACCGTGCCCAGGTAGAGCCTGTTCATCCCTGGCCACGTGTCCGGGAGCGGGTTTGTCTCCGAGCCACCTCTGCTGCCTCAGCACTACCTGGGATCACTCTCCAGGCTGAACCTGGCTACAGGGAACTTTTCCAGCCGTGCTCTGCTCACCTGGGCTTCCTGGAGGTTGGATTCTCCTGCTGCTGGAGCTGATCGTTGACCTTGTCTTTGAGCTGCGTGTCAGAAGCTGCTGAGTGAGCAGTGCCAGCGTTGGGCCTGATAAAGTGTGTGGGAGGGAGGGGGCTCTGCTGCATTCTGTCTCTGTTTGAGACATCCTTGTGCTGCATGGGTCTCCTTCCCACCTTTATTTGCAGAATAACACGTTCTGGAAGGCAGATTCTTGCCAAGACTGCCGATGTCGGAGCAGCGTCGTCACCTGTGAGCCTACAGCCTGCAGAGCCCCTCAGTGTGACTTCCAGAAGGTAAGGGCTGAGTCCCTGTGGCTGCCCAGAGCCAGGCCCAGGCTCTGTGTCCTTGCACTCCTCCTTGGAGTGAAAACACGTGGTGTGTGAAGCCTTTGTCCCCTTCCCAGAGCCGGGTGTTGGAGCAGTTTGATCCCAAAGGAAGCCCCTGAACTGGGCTCGAACCTCCCAGCGTGAGCCCCAGCTTCCAATCCCCCTTCCTTTGGAGGTGGGGCTGGGGCTCCCTGGAAGGTGCAGATGGGCACTTTCCACTCTGCTGAGCAACAACAGAGCTGAGATTGTCTGTCTTCCTGTTCCTTCTTCCTCGTGATGGTTGCTGAGCTTTCCTTGTCTCCTGGTCGTCTTTGTCTGGGTCTTCATTAATTGGCCATGGAATTGGTCTTGCATTAACATCTGGATTGCTGGGGTAGAGTGCACAAATAGCAGTGAAAATGAGTGTTTTAAGGAGGCTGTCAGTGTAATTATATGGCTTTGTGAAGCAGGTTAAAATGTTTCCCAATATGACAGCACTAATGAGGAAATAATTTTGATTCTTACTGGTTTTCCCCGTTATTTTTGCTGTGTATTGATTAAAGCTAGACTTAACTAGTGGGAATTTTTGTGCTAAAGAAGAGGGAAATCAAGTGCTGTCATGGCACACCTAATAATGAGTGCACTAGATAAAATGATAAAAATCAGGTAAATGAAGAGGTGGCAACTTTAAAACTCATAAAGGGAAATAGGTTTATAGTGTGAAACCAAACTGTGTGACTCCTTGACATGGACAATCTTCAAGACAAAATGTTTAAGTGTTCCAAAAACATCTGGTCATTTAAACATTGAAAAGGATCACCGAGGATCTCAGAAGAAAAAAAATTCTTTCATGCTTCAAGGCTGAACTTTCACTTCCATTTTAAAGACTCTGTTTGATGTCAGTTGTTTATTAGAATCTTGTTGTTTTTTTTTTTTTTTCAGGGAGAAGTTCTTCAAATAGCCTCCAACAAGTGCTGCCCTGAATGTGCCTCCCGAGCCGAAGGATTTTGCCAGCACGAAGGACAGATCCACAGTGTGAGTGCTCTGTCCAGTTCCTCAGCAGGGACAATCCTTTCCTGCTTTTAGCTCCCTGTTTGTTTCAGCCAGTGGAGGATGCTGAGCTGGTGTGCAGGGGAAGGACAGATCACTGCATTTATATCCTGTCACTGTCAGATAGTGGAGTTGAGCAGGAATTTGGTGGGAGAGTTTGCAGAAAGGGAATGTGTCACTGAGCAATTGTGTGTCCTGCATGGCTTAATGGGAGAAATTTCCCCATTTGTTCCTTCCCTTTGCTGATTCTGTGGGTGACTGAGACAGTGCAGTGACATCAGAAAGAGAGCAAAGCACAGTGGAGTTGACATATTAGCTGTGCTCAGAGCAGGCTTTTCTCTCAGCAGCCCTCTCTGCTGCCAGAAATTGATTGCTGCTCTGCGACCTGCGTTCTGTATTTCTGTAATCCTGAATTATTCAAGAAGCAGGTTCTGGGATGTGGTTTCACCTAGGGGGGCTGAAAGGCCAAAACAATCAGAATAAGTGTCTGGAGATGAGAAAAAAATCAAGATTCATGGGTAGTAGTTAATGAATCATGTCAAACAACAGGCAAATGTAGAAAAATGGCTTAACAGCAAACTCAAGTCCTATGTGTGGTCTCTTACAGACTTCTCTGTTTGACAAGAAGCAAGTCAGATCCAAATCTCAAGAAATATGCTAAAATTTGCATATGTGGGCTGTACTCTCCACACCTGAGATGGATGTTGTAGCCCTCTGTTCCAGCATGAAGCTGGTACAAACCAAGGAAAAGCTGGAACAGGAGGGGTAGCACACCCATCCTCTTCTCATGTTTCTTTGTGCCTGTCATTTGGTGGTGCTGTGTTATATCATAATGCATTATGTTTCTTCTTGTGCTATTTCTGCATTTTCTGGTGCTGTTCTTTTGCTGCAGCTTTTGTCTTTTGGCTTTTTTTGAGCCTGGCATCCCCACAAGAAAGATATGGACATATTTATACCTACAATCCCAATTCCACTGTCACATGGCCAGAAAGCCAATTTTTATCAGTGCCAAATCTCATCCTTGGGTGAAGAGGCACTTGAAAAAGGGGCAGGGTTTATTTGCAGCCCTCACTGTGCTCTCTGTGCCCCTGTTGTGTTGTGTGCAGCACGGCACGGAATGGGCCAGCTCGGGATGTGTCCGGTGCTCCTGTGCCCACGGGAAGGTGACCTGCAGCCCCAGGACCTGCCCTGCCCTCACCTGTGCACAAGGGGAGCTGCAGGACACTGCCCAGGGCTCCTGCTGTCCCAAATGTGTGGGCCCTGGTGGTGAGTACTGTCTGCTTCCATTGGTCTCAGCTCAGAACCTCCTTTTAGCCCCAAATCTGGAAAGCTTTTCTCTTCTGGTTCAGTTTTGTTGGGAGGACTCTGGAGTCAAGCCTGTCTCATAACTCCCTTTCTGTCCTGCTGCCATATTTACATTTTAATGGCTTGACCTATGGGCCAGGAGGTGGGGACAAGCTTTAAGCACTGAGCAGATGTGCCTAATAGAGCCTCATTTTGGAGATTAAAATTGGCAAAAACACCTCAGGTATTCCCTATGCGAGTTCCAAAACTGCTTCTTCAGCTCTTGGATGCCTTTTCTTGTAGAGTCCCAGTGGGACAAGTGCATCCAGAGCTCTTAATTCACAAACCCCTTGGAAACTGGTGGAAATGTTACCCTCTCAACCTGCTTTGACAAACTGCACTTTTGAATGCTGAGATGCACAAAGGCTGTGTTTTAATCATGGGTGACAGAAAGGGATGAAAGGGCTTTGGAAAAGTAACTTGCCCCTTGTTTTCCTGTCCCTTAGAGCCTTGCTCCTTCGATGGCCACATGTTCCAGGATGGTGAGGGCTGGAGCCTGGGTCGGTGCTCCAGATGTGTCTGCAGGAATGGGACAGCTCAGTGCTCCACAGCTGCCTGCCAGCCTCTGCTCTGCAGCCAGGTCAGCACCCTCCAGCCTTCTAGGAAAGTTCCTCAACACCTCCTTTTCCCTGAGCTATGTGCCTTTCTCATGCTTGGGAATAAAGAAGCAAGCAAAGCTTCTGGGTGACAAGTGGGTGCTTTGGAAAAGAGGTGTTTATTTGACTGGAGAAATGGTGTGGAGTGATGGTGAAGCCTGTGTGTCTCTTCACTCCTACCTTCTTTCCCCAGCATTTTATTTTTATCATCCCTTTGCTGGTTAATTAGGCACAAATTCTGGCTAAAGAAACTGCTTTTTTTTTCTACTCAAAAAAATGGTCTGGAGTTGATCAGGAAATTGAGCAAAGGAATGAAAACACAAGCTTTATAATGGGGTTTATATTCACAAATTTCAGTGTTTGATTTGCAGGTCTTGTTACTTTCTGTTTTTTGTACAAGAACTCTAGAAATACATTTGAGAGCAGTGGATGAAATTCCCCTTTTGCCTTCACGAGTTCAGAAATACGAGGCAACTTGAACTGAAAGAAAAGTCTCAGAGCAGTGGTCCTTCCATGTGTTTGATGTTCAGAAAACAACAAAACTGGGAAGAGGAGTTAGGCAAGCTTGTAGTTTCAGTCCAGTTAGGAGAGCAGGGACATTGCTGTTTCCAAGGTCTTTGCTGTGGACAAGTGATGAGTTTTTAGCGTTTTTGCAGGGATCAACACAGCCAAAATCCTACAGGATTCTACACAGTGTTAACACAGGATTTGTACTGTTCACAGTACTCCAAACTCTGGGCAAATCACTCAATTTTTAGAATTTTTGTTACTGTGTTGAAAGTGCTGAAGGGTGTGACTGTACTCTTTGGATCTTTTTCATTGCACCCATTGTACCCTTGGTATTCCTTTGCAGCAGCATGCCTGGAACTGGCTTCCTGGAAATCCTTGTCTCTGACCTTCACTCTGTGTTTTAGGGAGTGCCATTTCCTAAGTATTTTTAGGTCTATTACCATGCTCCAGTGATGAATCCAGAAGCTCCCTGACTCAGAATTCTTCACTGAGAAAATCAAAAGCACAACTCATAAACCTTTTTCTGTGCTGATGCTTTCCCAGATTACTGTTACTGGACCAGATGTTTGTACAATTAACACTTTTTTTTTTTTTGATAGAAGAAACCCCACCTATTAGTGTGTACTAATTATATTTTGCTTTGTCCTGAGATATTCCATTAGTATTCATTTACTAAGTACTCTGGATTAGAACAAATTTATGCCTGTTTTAGATCCCTCCTTTCCCACTCCAAGTGGACTGGCATTACCTGCTGAGCCATTGCACTAATGTTTAATCAGCTAATCATTAGGATTTTATTTATGGAATCAGGAGTGACTGTGGTGTTGCTGTGATGTATTTGAGAGTAATTGGCTGGCAGCATCCAAGTTAATGCAGCAGAAAGCCAAATCTGATGGTGTTCCAGATATTTCCTACCAAGGACATTGCCAGGTGGAAGGGACTTTAGCAGGATATGCAAGGAACCTGTTCTGATCTCAATCAATCCTAACATTTTCTTGCATGGGGCTTTATCTCTGCCCCTTCCTTAGTTCTCCACTCCATCAAAAGCCAAGACAAAAATTCTCCCAGGATTAAACTCTCACCTTCCATCTTTCAGATAATTTTGCTCTTCCCTAGGTACTGAGGGAGAAGAATGCCAAAAATTCCTGTTGCATGCCACCAAAATACACATAAAGGTTCTCTTAACTCTTCTGGGAAATCTGTCCTTGGTAACTTTTGTACAAAGCGTTCCACTCTTTGTTTGAAAGCTCAGGATTTGAGTGCTGAAGAAGATGAGATGTTGGTGCTTGGCATTTCTGCTCTGATTCCAGTCCACCAGTCTTTCTTCTGATCATCCTGGCATGGCTGGAGGGAGGTGCTGATGAACAGTGCAGTTCCCAGCTCTTGGATGTACATTGACTGGGAGCAGTGGAATTAGACAGGTTTGGATGGCTGGAATTGGGGCATGCAGGAAAAGTTACATTGGTGTGAAAATGCCAGCCTTTTCCAACATGATTTAAATCCATCATAAAAAAATTGAAATTAGAAAAATACAGTTTTAAGCATAATTTAGCATCTGCACAGACAGCATGGATGAATTTAACTAAAACAGTGCAGATGCCTGAGAGGTGGTGAGCATAAATCACACCTTCAAAACCTCAAAATATTGCAATTCCAGAAAAAAAACTTCTCTCATTCATCTCCTGCTTTATTGTGCTTCCTTGCATAGCTATATATTTATTTTTTCCTCTGTATATCTGTGTGCCTGAATAGAAGCACTTTATGTCATGTGTATGAATTTATCTGCATCTCTCCCTGTATTCAAACCTCAGTTGCCATCTAAATGAGCCCAGAAAATGAGGTGGAGAAAACATCTTTCAAGCCTTTGCCTCTGCTCTTGTGCTGCTTTTCAAAGCCCTGAGTGCCAGTGGGTAATCCCATGGGTGCTGAATGCCTGGAATTCCAAGCACTGATGCTGACCCCACGGTTAACTGTTCACACTTTGTTTTCCTTGTCTCTGCCTCGTGTTTAGGAGGAAATCATGGTTCTGTCTCCTGGAAAATGCTGCCCAGAGTGTGTCCCAAAGCCCTGCTCGGTGTTGGGAAGAACCTTCCAGGTGACTTGTGACAAAGCACACCAAAACCGCTCGTGATTTTTGGCACATCTCTCTTTCCCTTCTCCCCAGCCTCTGACTTGCTGCCAGCACTGATAGCTTTGTGCAAACGCTGCTTTTTTCCCCTCCTGGAAAGGCAGGAGGGTTGAAAGAAATGAGGACTTGATAAGGATTTGCTGGCCAGCAGAAAGGAAGTTTTCTGGGCAAAGGAGATGAGGCGCTTTCATTTCACACTTGTTTTGAAGGAGAAAAGCAGAAAGTGGTTCTCACACTGGTGATAGTCACAAGTATTTATAGCTTTCATTGTGATATCTGGAATTAATTGAATGCATTATTTAATGAATGTATCTATGTGGGATATTCTGTCAATGATTTTTTTTTTTGGCTAATAATAGTAGTTCAGGCTTCCCCAATGCCACTAGCTTGCAATTAATGGGAAATGCATGCCCACAGTGTCATCTAGACCTCAATCCCTCTCCTTGCTGAGCATGTAGAGATCAGCATTTTTTAAGAAAAGTTTATTATCTGATATAGACATGCAGAAGGAGCCATCATATTCCATAAGCAGCTCAGGTTTCTGGAAGGAATTTGGTTGTTTTCCAAGAGTGTTTAACAACTGTATCCATGTTCTTTTTCAACAGCACGGGGAGCAGTGGAAAAAAAATGCCTGCACTGCATGTGTGTGTCAGAGAGGGGAAGTGAGATGTGTGAGGGAGACCTGTGACTCTGTCACCTGTGAGCAGGTACTGAAAAATCACCCACCCTGCTAGCCCAGCTGCTGTGCCAAGGGCTCCAGACAGCCCTGCTCACTCGTGGCTGATGTTTTTAAGGGGGAGAAGAAGGTGCAGCGCCCTGGGAAGTGCTGTGAGGAGTGTGTGTCTTCCAAAGGGAGCTGCTTGGATGGTGGCACCACCAGGTACCATGGGGAGATGTGGAACAGCACCCACTGTGACTTCTGCGTGTGCCAGGAGGGCCAAGTCACCTGCCAGGCAGCTGAGTGTGCCAAAGTGGAGTGTGCCAAGGTGAGAAAGGCTTTCTTCTCAAGTCTTGGGATTTTAATTTTTTTTTATATTTTTTTTCCTTCCCTTTTTCTTTTTTCTCACCTTGAGACGCTCGATGAACCAGCCCTTGATTGGTGCAATCCCCTCAAAAACAGGGAAGGAGAGCAAACCTGGAATTTCCCATGCAAGTTTGCACTGTGGGCTTCCACTGTGAAGCAAACCAGTGTGAACCAGTGTGAATTTAATCTGGATTCCCTCCCACACTGTGTGTACCTGCTGTAGTGGAGGGTCAGACACACAGAGGATTGAGTGGTGATCACTGGATTTCCCAGGAGCTGAACTTAGGGAAAATGTGCAGGTCAGAGATGGTTAAAAGCTTTAGAAATGTTCCTTTTATCCTCATTCTGTCTGCTGCAGTGGCCATCAGTAAGGTAGCTGGATATGGAAGTCAGTGTTCTAATTTCCTTCATTTTTTCCATGCCACTCTTAGCATGGAAGTGAAGCTGGCAAGGTATTTTATTCCCAGTGTGCTGTTTACTCCAAAACTAATACCCTTCCTGCCAGGTTATGTTAGATTTGCTCTGCAGTGGATGTGCAAAATGCATTCGATGGGGTTGAATGCTTCAGCCACACACGTCCAAATGTGCCTTGAATTGGCTTTTTTTAGCAGTGGGATAAGACTTCTGTGTTGTTTGTCACTGCATGGGCTGAGAGGATTGTGTTTGCTCAGCCTGGACAAGAGGAGGCTTTGGGGTGACCTAATTGTGGCCTTTTAGTACCTGAGGGGCTCCAAGAAAGATGGAGGGACTTTTTGTAAGGGTGTGGAATGACCTGATAAGAGGGAATGGCTTCACACTGACAGAAAGCAGGTTTAAATTGGATATTGGGAACAAATTCTTGCCTGTGAGATGGTGAGGCCCTGAGGTTGCCCTCAGAAGCTGTGGCTGTCCCATCCCTGGTGTCCAAGGCCAGGTGTCCCTTCCAACCCAGACCTTTCTGTGATTCTGTGATCTGTTTCAATTCAATGAGGGCTCTTACCTGTTCTATACCTACTACTCCACAGTGTCAGTGAGGAGAAGGGAAAGAATTGTGGCCTCCTGGGTTTTCTGTCTCAGTGGTGATGCTTTTCTGGTGACCCTGCCCTATGTGTGCTAAATCTGGAGCAGCAACACCCTTGTGGTGTGTCTGAGGTCCAGCCAAAACCCCAGACATAATGGTTTCACTGGATTAGCTTGTTTTAATGAGTGTTCAAAGGAAAATCCACACACAGACTCCCTAATGATACAAAAATGGATGCAAGAAGGTATGAAAGTGTATATTCACCTGTGCCTGTGCCTTTGAAACAGCCAAAATGCACTGAGTGTGGGACCCAAAGTCACCCCTGCCGTGCTGCTGCTGCTGATCACCCGACCTCAAACTGCACAGGGAGATTTTTGCTGGATGAAAAGTTGTGGTTGTCATAAAATCTCGTGCACTTGCAGCTGTTTGAGCGAGCTGCCTGCGTGCTCCTGGCTGTAAATTGGATCATTTACACTAATGATGATGGCCTGCTGTCATGGCTCAGTGGGGAGGATTAGTTAATATTCATGCTCACATCTTGGGTACTGACAAAAAAAAAAAAAATCCATTCTTCAGAAAAGCCAGGGGTGTTTTCCAGAACAATAGCTGGAGATGTTAACATGTAGGGTTCACAACTCCTCCAGTCCTGTTCAGTTGTAGTTTGCCTCAAAAGTGCAAGATGTGCATTAATTAATTACAAGAAAATGTGTAGTCAAAAAGCAAATGCCATGTTTTCGTTTTCCTTTGTATTTTCATTCTGAAGTTGCAATCTGTTTATTTTGGCACCTGCCTCAATAAATCAGAGCTGATGTGAAGCCAGGAGCACTTGGATTTCTCTCTTCATAAGGCACTATTAATTTCCTGGTCACATCATCCTACTGGAAGTGTAATGAGGACACAGATAGCAACTACAAGAGGTTTAACTCCAAACCCTTTCAAACAAACTTGTCCAGCAAGGTGTCTGTGGTGATTCTGATCTAATCCTCAAAAAGCCATTTTCAGCAGGCTCTGAGCATGTTCTCAACCTGGAATATGATCAATCTGTCTCCAGCAAAGCCACAAGTTATCTCCCACAGCTTCTCCCTTTTTTGAGCCTTGGCAGAGCAGCATAGCTGTGGTTTTTTTGGGCTAGGCAAGCCATGTTCCATGGGTAGTTCTCCCAGTTTTCCTATAGCCTGTGTTTATGGATGTGGGTGGGGATAAGAGAGTTTACAGTACACAGCAGTGACATGAGATCCAAACCCTGCCAGAGGCATTTTGGAGTAATTGAAGAACAGAAATGTGTAGAAGCAGCAGAGAGATTCAGGCCATGTGTGGTCCTCAGTGACTAAGATGGTTCCTTCTCTGTTCCCTGCTCAGGAATGCACCAGGGATGTCAGAGGGTGGCCTGACTTAGGTGTTCTCCCTTGGTGAGCCTCATAATGACCAGTGCTGCTGCTCCCCTGTCTGTGTCTTTAATAATTCCTGTACAAAAATTGAGGGAAAATTATCCAGGAGCACACACCCGATTGCAATAGATCAGAAAAACTCCTTGGTAATCTTGGAAACCAAATCTTGTGAGCTGTGTCCTGGTTCCCTAGGAAAAAGTCTCTCTCTTTTCTAAATATTCAGCTTCCACTTGGGCACAAAGAGTTGTGGTGAATTGGGGCACTTTATTCCTTTCTCCTGCTGCTCAATTCTTGTCTTCAAACTGAAGTTATTTCAGTGGAATCTGCGGAGCTGTACAGTTGTGACAAAGAACAGGCTTTTTCCATCTGGGATAAATAGAGCATGTGCTTTGAAATTCTCTTGGGGAAGTAAAAGTAGAACATTCCAAATGAAGGTAAGCCTGTGTGCATTGAAATCTTGAGGTTGGTCCAGTGAAATCCTAGCGATCCACAGTAAAAAAGGGGAGGGTTTCTCTGCGGGATTTAGGGATGAAGTAATGGCTTTATCGCTGAATTCCGAGGCCTTTGCTGAGGTTTGTTCTGCAGCTACAAGAATTGCTAAGCACGTTTTTCAAACTATACCTACAGAGATGAAGTTGGATGGGGAGAAGATAAGGTGAAATTAGATATTGGAGATTGCATTCCAGGGCAAGAACTGTTCTGCCTCGGCATTCCACTGTGGTTTTGGCCGTGTTGGTTCCTTTGGAATTGCTGCAACCTTGTCTCTTCTTTCACAGGGTGAAGAATTAATTCACTTAGAGGGGAAGTGCTGTCCTGAATGTATCTCCAGCCATAGTTACTGTATTTATAAAGGACATACCAAAGCTGTGAGTATCATTGTACTTTTCAGCAGGGAATAGTGAGTTCTGCTCACAGAGGTTTGGAGGGGCTGGCTCTCCCTGTCTGCTTCTGAGAAGGATATTATTTGCAAGTGTAGCAGAAAAATAATCCATTAATATTGTTTGCAGAAACACTTGTGTGCATCTGCTGCAGAATTACAGTTTTCCTTGGTCTCCTTTGTGCAGTCCAATCAATCATTTCCTTTTAATATTTAATATCCCTACTCAGAGGTTTCCTGCACATTTCATAAAGATAGTTGATTTTAATCCTATCAAGTAGAAGCTACAGAGCTGGGGCAGTGTGTAGCTTTCTGCCAATGTATCCCACTGATTATAATCTTTACTGCAACAGCAGCCCATTATTAATATTTTCAAGGAACTTTCCTCTGAAATTAAAGAGAAAGGAAACATTGATTATCTCAGTTTAAATATACCAGTAGTGGACTTTTCATTACTCTCACAGAAGAGGACTGGAGCTGATAGCTGCTCTTTGCTAACAGATGTGGGAAGTGAGAAATTTAATATTGTTTGGGGCTCATTTTACATGCTGAGCCTTTCTTTGCTCAGATAGGTAAAACACTAAGGTGTGAGTTTTTTTCCAGTTCGTGCTTTGCCCTTGCTGGGATAGGAAGTGGCAGGAAAGCTTTGTGATCATTTCAAATGCCTGCTTGTCTTTTCCGTGGAGCCCTTCCTGCCTGTGCTGGTGGAGCCAGAGATGCCCATGGCTGGCAGGTGCCCCGGGTGCCGAACCTCGCGTTCCTTGGCAGCTGAAGCCGTGTTTGTCCTGCAGAGCGGGGACAGCTGGGCCGAGGGGCCGTGCCGGGAGTGCCAGTGCCGGGATGCTGCCGTCACCTGCTTCCAGCGCTCCTGCCCGCCCTGCCCGCGGGGCAGCCGGCCTCGGGAGGCCAAGGGACACTGCTGTCCTCGCTGCCAGCCAGGTACACAGCCAGGCCACCCCTGGCCTCCTGCTGGAACCCCTGCAGCCTTCACTCCCCATCCCTGCACGGAGTCTTTCCTTGTCTCCACTCTAACTCGTTTCCATACCATGCAGTTCTTAGATCAGGTTCCCCATGGTTTAAATGACAGCTTTCCTTTGGCATAAGTTCTCCTCAGGGTTGGTGTTTTGGAAGTGTTTTGTCTTTTTCTTTTCCCTTCCACTGCTCCTTTCTGAATCCTGGCGTGAGTTTTGGAGTTTATGGGCTGCTGATTATTTCTTGGGCGTGGGAAGAAGAAAGAATGTGAATGCACTGTTATGCCACAAGCTCACCTGAGGCTGAAAGGCTGCCAGTTAATAATTGTTTGGAAAGACTAGCATAGCCTTGGCTTATATGGTAATTTTACCTATAAATTCCTTTTTCTCCAGGATATTGTCATTCCCCTGGATTTACATTTCATGGTTGGGAGTCTTTAGCTGTGGGTTGCTCGTTCTTTTTGGTAGCTCTTCTTGTTGCAGTCATATAACTTTGGTTTTATCAGGGTGCTCCAGTTAATGCTTTATCTCAGTAAAAAAGAAAATAGCTTCACAGTTTAATTGTGCCTGGGCATATTTGCCATCTTCTTGTTTTAAAGCTTATTGTTTGCTGCATGCTAATGGAAATGCAAAGCACTAGAGATAGAAAAGTGAGGAATGTTCCCATGGAATTGTCCTGGATTTTTTGAGAGGGAGCAGCATCTGCACAGGCTGCTGAGGAAGGGATAGATGATACAGTGTTCTCAGCACCTCTCCCTTCTCTTTATCATGAAGTGCCTCTGTCTACTGCTTATCCTTGGAAAAGTGGCCATTTAGCTTCCATCATAGTAGCATTTTGGAAAACCCAGGCTTACAGAGCCATGGTATTGGACATACAGAGCCAAACCTGCAGTTTTTGTGTCCTGAAAGGTAACTGGCAGTTTCCCTTACCCAAACCTGCTCTTTTCCCTCTGTGATTTTCAGTCTTGCAGTGGTGGGGGATGAGAAACAAATGCAAAATGCAGCCTGCAGCAGTTCAATCTGTGAGCCCAGAATACCAGCCTCTGCTGCATCTGCTTCCATAAAGCCAGCAAAAATTGATTGCTGCTTCTCAGAGATGTGCTGGGGGAAGCTGGCAGAGAGAACCCACTCCTTTTCAGCCAGGGGAAAGCAAAAAGCCCTGGGCACTGCTGTATTTATGTTAAATTCAGCATATATTCCCTCTCACTGAGAGCTTTTGGTTTGCAGCCTCGCTGAGAACACTTGGCTGGGAGCAGAGGAGCTTTTTTTGTAGCTAGAGATAAATTGTTCTGTGTCTCTCCAAGTACCTGTGGCCAGGAAGTTCTTCATTCTGGAGGGGGAGCAGTCTGCCACCTGTACTCTGACCTGGCATTGACACAGAGTCCTGACTTACTGCAGGGTTTGGCTTTAGCAATCTCAAATTCAGGTTGTTTCGGGCTGTTAATTCCTGGTGACTTAAAATTTTTACTGCTGAGAAACCATGTGGACAATGAATACCCTTTTAATCAATTGCCTAGAAAATCTGAGTCTATATAATGGCTTTTCACATACTAAACAGAGCAATAAAACATTTAGCCCCATTGATATAATCTAATATATAAAACCCCACTCCAAAGCTAACACACCTTGTACCACCCAGGGAAACAAGCGATGGATTTCACTTGGATTTGGGAGTTGCATCGTTTTGCTCCTTCCTGACTGCCAAAACTGCTTTTGTTTTTCCCTCTCTGTGCTGCCCCTGTGCCAGGTGAGTGCCACCCAGACTGTGTGAGCTGTTCCCAGGCCTCAGATCGCTGTGACTCCTGCCAGGACCCCAGGAAGTGGCTGCAGGACGGGCGCTGTGTGGAGATGTGTGAGCAGGGCTTCTACCAGCACGGGGGGGCCTGCTTAGGTAATTCCTGCAAGGGCTGGCACCCCCTTCTCTGCTGCTTGCTGTGCCATCCCCTGGGCTCATTCTAAAGGGATTGCCAGGCTTTGCTTGGGAAAGCTCCAGGCACGTGTTGTGTTGTAACCAGGAGACTTTGGGAGGTTTCACACGGAAGAACAAGCAAATTCTTGAACTCTTTAGCTAAAATGAGGCAAAATCGTCTCATTTTGTCAGAGCAGAGGGGTCTTTCCGCATCAGGGGTTTGGGATTGATTTTTCTTCTCTTTTCTTTCTCCTGGAAGCCTGCAATGAAACCTGCTCAGCCTGCACCAATGGATTTGAGTGCTCCTCATGCCAGCCACCCCTGCTGCTGCAGGACGGGCAGTGTGTGACTTCCTGCGGCAAGGGCTACGTTCAGGATCAGCTCCTCTGCACAGGTAACTCGAAACAAAAGAGGCTGCAGGCCTCTGTGATGGCAAAAACTCTGCCTGGGCTGTGAGAACCCCCTCTCTTGAGGCATCTGCTGTTGACACAGGTGTTAATGTTCACCCTAGAGAGTAAAGGAAGGGGTGAGTGAACAGAGGAACCAAGCCATGCAGGATAAAATTGATCACTGCTTGGGGAAATGTTAATGACAATTCCTCAGTGGGTCGGTTCTGTTGTGTGTTTCTTTGACTTCAGTGCAGACTGCCTGTTGATGCCAGACCTTTCAGGATGTGGTACTTTGAGGTGTATAGAAAATTGCTTGGATTGGTAGGACTCAGGAAAGACTTTCTGGGGAAGTTTTCTGCTTTGTTTTGCCATTCGTTCGATCCATTCTGTGCACTCTTCCTGGAAGTGCATTGAGCTCACTGCTCTCAGGAAGCATTTTTACAAAATAAATTGGTAATTCTATAAAACACTGAGATGTGTCTAAATCCTTTATCCTAGCAGTTGGCAAGATGGAGAGTAAGATTCAGAAGTTAGCTTTCTCTTTGATGGAGCTATGACAGCGCTTTTATGAGCTTCCCCTGCTCCTTTGAAATACTTAAAACTCTTCCCAAACTGTAAAGCAGCTGCTTTTTCATCATAGCAGTTTAATTGTTTTCTCTGAAATTAACACTTTTCCCTTCTTGATGTTGGCCTTTTTAGAGGGCCTTCTAATTATTTCTGCATCTCTGATTCAGCAGAGGGGTGGAGCAAATGCTTAACTTCTGAGCCATCACTTGAATTTCTCTGGAACTAACCCTCCTGCTCAGAATTCAATAGAGGCTGAGGGCTTTTGGCACATCTCAGGGCAAAGCACTTAAGATGCTAAGTCCAGTTTCCTTTTCTGAAGTGGTTTCTCTTGAAGAGCCAACCACTTGTTTCAAGTTTTGAAAGTCTGAACAACCTCTGTCCTCCAGCAGCCACTACAGCCCAGGGCACCACTGTGAATGTATAAATAGATAAGAGAGACCCAGTCCAAAAGAATTTATAGGCTTAAGTATCAAATCATCTTCTACTTCATTTGGTTTTATTTTATCATTTCCTTTCCACCTGCTCGTGGTGTTTTAATTGGCAGTGCCCATGTACTGCTGAAGGGGTAGGGAAAGGCTAATGTTTCATTTTATTGCTGGTTCGTAGATTACTGATTTTACACTCCATCCAGATTTACATGCTTGTAGCTGAATGTTGCTGGGAAAATTTGTTCCTCTTTCCTCAAGGGAATTAAACCAATTTGCTTTAGTTCTGCCTGGCTGCATTTTCTACATAAAGTCAAACCAGTGGAGAAAGTCTTACATTTCACATGTGGTCTGTAATTCATGGCCATTCACTCTTTTCCTTGTATCCTCTCTATTTCTGGAAATCTCTAATCAGCTTGTTGAGACGGGCCTCAGACTGCTCCCAAAGATTTTCCTCATAATGGTTTTAACATCCACAATAAGCATGTTCCAGAATCACAGGAAGGATGAACTAGACTGTGTTAATTGCTACAGTTCAGTAAATTCTCTCTTGAGGAATTCACTCTGGACTCGAAAGAGACTTAACACCAGGTTTCTTGCTCTGTCCTCTTGTTGAAACGCTGTTTTCTGCATTATAGAAAAACACAGTGAATTAACCTTTCCTTTTGTTCATGTTTTATAACAGCTGATCTAATTGAGGCTCTTTGGAATTTTTGATTACAGTTGTTTATCTCTGCCCTATTTTAATCCTACACCGGGGTTGTTTTCCTGCCCCCATCCCTCCACTTGCTTTTGTGAAGAATTCAAACCATTAAGAGAAAGTAAAATTGAGAATAAAAGGCAATAAGTTCAGTTGTGTAGCAGTGGATTTAATGATCACGGTTGAGTTTGTGTCAGGCAGAGTGGTGGGCTCTCCCTTGGCAGAAACAGAACTCCCCCACCGAAGGCAAAGCAAAGGGAAGCAAAAATAAACTGTGTCTGCACGGTAGAATGGCAGGACTCGAAGGACTTGCAGTGTTCAATGCTCTCACTGCCTTTTTCTAACTTAATTATTTATGTTTCCAGGATTATTCAGAAGCCCAGGCAGAACTGGAGTGTTTCTGCTTTCATCTCCCAAAATGCCAGTGTTGAAGTGTGTAACTTGACACTAACAGACCCGGCTCACTCTGGAGCAAAGCACTTGGATTTCTGCTCCCTTTGTGTTGCTTTTCCCGGCTGTCCCTGGCTGTGGAGGATCCTCCAGGATCCGGGGCTGAGCCTGGCTGAGCTGAGCTTGCCCAGCTCCCAGGGAGGGGTGCAGGGGAGAGGTGGCACAGATCGCTGGGACCCCAGCAGTGCCTTCTGTGTTCTTGCTGGGATACCGCCGGCATTGCTCTCCTGCTGTGGTCAGACCTGGGAGGGTTTCACGTGTTTGCAGAAGAGACAGCCCCTATAAATCCAAACTGGAAATAGCCTGGGGGGTGGGAACAGCTTCCTGGCCATGCAGTCACTTCTGGTGATTTATTTTCTCGCAGCCACTTCGTTGCTGCAGGCAAAGATGTTTGAGCTGACAGTGGCTCATTGAATGTTTCCATTTGTCCCTTGTTCTTTCTGTGGAGTTGGTGCCTGGCTGTTTGGGTGAGGAGCAGCTGTTGAGCCTGGCAGAGATCCAGTGATGAAAGAGCCAGGGATTCTGGAGTCGGGGTGTGTAATCAGGGAATCACAGAATAGAAGAGTTTGGGTTGTAAGAGACTGTAAAGATGATTGTGTTCCAACCCCTCTGCTGTGGACAACTTCCACTATCCCAGGTTGCTCAGAGCTCCATCCAGCCTGGCCTTGGACACTTGCAGGGATGGAGCCTGTGCCAGGGCCTCACTGCCCTCACAGGGCTTTGCCAAGGGCCAGCAGGAGCCAGCTGGTAACTGTTTAAAAACAGAGTCAGGCTGCCAGCAGGGAAAAGTGTCTCTTGGAAAGGAGCAGCACCTTTAGGGAGGATTGAGAACTTTGCAAATGACTGGGAATGTTCAGATGTGCTGACATAGTGAGGCAGGGTAACAGGCTGGGGTCCCAGCTGTGCACTGGGAAGTCTGCAATTAAAGGATCCGAGTCCTGGCACCCACTCTTTCAAAAACATGGTGAAAGTTAGAGTGAGCTCAGAGAGGAGCAAAACAGTCAGGTCTGGAAGGTGAAGTGAGGACATTTCAGTGCTTAGAAATTTACAGCATGAACTCATACTCTGCAGTTAACTTTGGAGTGTAGACGTGCCCTGAGAATCATCCAAGCTGGAATGAGATGCAGGCTTTTTTATCAGCAAGGGAAATTATTGACTGGAGCAGGAAACTGTGCACAAGCTCTGCCTTGGGATGGGATGGTTGGTGTTCCTTGTGTTGGGATTATGAGGGGAAGATCCTCTGCAGTACAGGATGCCCAGGGTCCTTTTGAGACACTCCTCACATTGGAATGTTCAGGACCCAGAAGAGCCACAGGAATGATCGGGGAGGATGCAGGAAGCTGAGAATGAGGGAGAGCAAACAGCAAATCAAGACAAGGACAGGGAAGATCAACCAAGGTGGAGGTGTGGAGAAGGAGCATCCACAATGCCAAAGGACCATGTGCTGGGCATGAGCTCAAATGTCCTGTGCCTTGCCCACTGAACACTCCCTGTTCTAACCCCACGTGTCCCAGTTCCCTCCGTGTGAGATGGAGCTGATAGCACTTCCCTGCCTTGGGCAGCAGTGAAATCCCCTGGGATGGGGTGTTACCTGTGCCATATGACTCGTGTATAATAATAATAATAATAATAATAATAATAATAATAATAATAATAATAATAATAATAATAATAATAATAATAATAATAATAATATACTCTTAGTTCTGTGGATGAGCTGCTGCTGTGCCTGCTGGTTTCTGCATTGCACTGATGCTATTGATGGATGAGTTTTTCTTGGGTGGCTGCAACTTCAGACATGTTTGCAGGGCAAGCAGCAAGGAGTTCCCTTTTCTCCCACCTGCCACTGGCTGGGAGCACAAGCATGTGCCTGCCTTATTGTGAAATAATTAATTGAAGAACATCTTTGGAACATATTTGTGTGTAATTGAGGAAAAAAAACCCAAAAAACCTTAACAGCTAAAAGAACTGTAATTTGCACCGTTGCTACAACACTGGTGGCACAGGATTTGGTAGGAGTCTGTCCCCCATATTTTCCCCAGGAGTCACTCAGGCAGAGCATGTGAGGATTCCTGAGAAGTCAGTTCCTTCTGCACCTGGAAGGACAGGAGTTGTTGTTTCTGGAAGCAGGCTGGCTTGTTTTTCATTTTGAGTGCAGCCTTGCAGCACAGTTCTGTGTTTGTGCCCAGAGCTGGGTTACTGTCAGCAGTCACCCCAAGGATCTGAGATGGGATCTCTTCCTATTTCCCTTTGTGCCTGTGCAGCCCCGGGCACCAGGGACTTGACAGTGTTCCCAACACTCCTCCTGGGCTGATAAAAGCTACACCAACTGCTCTGATCTGTGCTGCTGTCACATTCCACGTGCAAAATGCAGCTGGAAGTTGTCCTGGGGATGGCTTGGATGAAAGATTCTAACGTGAGAGCAGCAGTGGGTTGTGGTTGTTATTTTTTCATGTTGTGTAGCAGTGCAAGGCTGAGCAAACGTGCAGAGAAGTGGTGCAGGCTCTTTTTTTGTGAAGAGCAGGTTGGAAGCAGGTTGTTGGCTCATCCTACACCTCTGTCTCCCCTGCAGCTTGTCACGAGTCGTGCTCGTCGTGCTGGGGAGCTGCTGAGAGCCAGTGCCTGTCCTGCCAACACCCAGCACACGTGCTGCAACAAGGGCTCTGCCTGGCCACCTGTGGCCACGGCTTCTACCCCAAGGATGGCATCTGCACTGGTAAATAACTGGGAGAGAAATGCTCTGCACGAGCAGGGATCAATATTTCATTTAGCTGTGCAGCAGCTGGGATTTTATTCATGTCTGACAAGCCAGCTGCACCTTGTGCTTTCACGCTGGATGAGGGAAGCTGCTGTTTGTTTGTGAGATTATTAATTCATTTAAGCTAATCAGATGCTGAAAGGTTTTAGGGGTTTTTCCTTGCCGAGCAGCTTGAAAACCTGAGTTGTTTCTGAGGGCTTGACAAATCCATTTGTCTATGGAAAGAAAA